AAATACTTCTCCAGGCAAACAAAAAGAAAGAGAGAGAGAGAGGAAGTGAGAATGCAAAATCTTGAAACAGCTAGTGGTTGTAAAGTAATTTAGCAGCTAGAAAAGTGCCACAACTGCATCAGAATCAAGAAATCTTGCGTCTTTTTAAAAATTTTTCTGCTATTTGGCTTAATCTAACTGTATAAGAAGTGACCAACCAACCATTCAACTTCAGATACCATTGTATGTGCTGGACCAGACTTCAAATATCAACCACGCCATTTCAGCTACAAAGAATCCAATCAACAGGGCCCAATGAGATCCAAACAGACTACTGGGACTTTCTTCTTATATGTACTTTTTATGTCTTATTGGTATTTGTTTTAATCTAGATAACTGTAATGTCTTGCCAATGTCTTGTTTTCTAAAAAAAGATTATGACGATTCTGGCTTAAAGAAATAATTTTGAATCACTTCAGTTATAACTAATGTTTTGTGAAACAGTATCTTATCCAAGTGGATAGAAGGAAAAGGGATTACTAAACAAAAAGCTTTATACTTTCTCCGAAGGAAAGAATTTTGTTTACTAAAGAGGGTTTGCAGGACCAAGTTAAAAGAAACATTTTTAAAAATCTATTTATGTTTTAGGAGTTTAAACTTACAACCAAGATTTAGTAAAATAATAATAAAGACACTTTTTACATGAGTAATTTGTATTAGTGTTTCAATATTTAGCATGTGATCTCCTCATTATTAAAATCACCTACACTCATTGTAGTAGTGACGGTCACATTTGCTTCACTTGAAATTTTTAATGAAAGTTTACACTATAAGAGAAGGGGTGGGGAAAGCATACTAAAACAACCCTCTAATTAATTATTGATTGTTGGGTCGTTTCTCAAGCTGCAGTTATGCAGGTTTATCTACGTTATGTACACTAGTTCCCTCTCTATCCCCCACTATCCTCCCAGAATAAATGCAGTCAAGAACACTGTTTCTATTGAAATGCTTGAAACTGGATTATTGTCAAGACTAAGCTTCAAATACCTCTTCTATAAGTGATTCCCTTATCCTAAACACTACCATTCTGAGGTACCAAAAATATTCAAACACAGTACTAACTCTCATTACAGCTGTATTTTTAAAACATTTGCTTTTACAGTACAGTTCATATGCAAATGTTTTTCCCACCAGGAGTTTGGTTCAAGTAGAGGTTTGACCTGTGTAATGTACATAGGACTTTATTGAAATATTAATAACCTGTATTACACACAATATTATTCACAAGAGCTTTGGCGAGGGTTGCCGGATAAATCAGTGACTTCTGGCAACCGCACATAGACACTTACATGCAAACATCCAGAAATCACTGTCAGAGATATCCTGTTCTATCACAAGTGGTCTGCAGCAGCCTTGCCTCAGCATTAAATGATTGTAATAGCATGAACTTGGGATAACTGATCACAAGTTCAACATTAAAAGTGGCTGTATTATTCAGTGCCATTGCATTCGGGAATGCATTTTTGATGGTATAATGAGTGATAATTACTGAACAGCATCTCTCACCTGAAAATGAATTTTACATGTATGGAATCTCTCATTTTTACAGAAGAAAACTGTACTGCAGACTTTTTTTTGAAGATTGAAAATTAAGTTTTTAGATCTGACCCTTTTATTCATTTCCCAAGTATTTAGATTTAATTGATACCTTATTGTTCAAACAATCTTAATTAGGATTCTTCAAGCTCATGTTTAGAGAAAGTACAACACTGAATGCAACTGCAATCAGGATTAGTGAATATGTTTGCTGACAGCTGAAAAAAAAAAGTCTTTGGGGTAACTGAAAGGAAGGTGAACAGCATCACTCCTTTGCGACGAGTGCAATATTCACAACAATATCGAATTCACAAAGTAACAATGGTGAAGATATTTCCACTGTCCTTGTATTCGTACAACTGATTTGATCATGGTTTGCACAAACTTCTATTTCATTTCACCAGTTTACTGGATTTCTGAACTCAGATGTTTAAAAATGTCACTTTAGAATCTGTTCCCATCACCCATTCAGAAGTAAATTCCAAATGAAGTGACAAAGTCAAGATCAATAAAGTTTTTCTAAAATGAAAACTTTTAAAATATTTCTTTCATGGAGTGTGGACGTCGCTGACAAGACCAGCATTTGTTGGCTATGTCCACTTGCCATTGAACAGGTTGTGCTGACCCACTTTCTCAAACTGCATGGTCCATGTTGTTAGGAAAGATTGGAGTTAAAGGGTTTTGATCCAACAACACAGAAGGAATGGCAATATAGTTCCAAAGCAGTGTGTTATGTGGCTGTAATGTACTCATGCAATCAGGCAAATGCAGAGTATTTCAATGAAATAATTGCCGATTTGATTTTAGCCTCAACTCTACTTTTCCACCTATTCTTTATAACAGTTATCCCTCAAGTCCAAAAATGTGTTTCTCTGGACTTTGAATATATTCAATGAGTCAGATCTCATAGTTCTTCAGAGTAAAGAATTAAAATGATTTATGACCCTCAGAAAACAATTCCGCTTCATCTCAGTTTCAAATGGGAGGCACCTCATTCTGAAATTAAACCGCCAGATCTAGATCTCCCCTCACCTTCCTCCCCTAAGCATTTCCTTTTCACCTCCCCCCAGCACTTCCTCTTCTCCTCCCACCGTGTGGGAAGCATCATTTCATCACTTATCTTGTCAACAACCTCAAAATCTTGTACATGTTTCAATAAAAATCACCTGTCATTCTTCTAAACCTCTACACTCAAGTACCTCATCTAAGTCAATATTATAGATAGTAAATAAGCAAAGCTGCAGCACTGATCCTTGTGGCACCCCACTAATAACAGGCTACTGTAATGGTCCAGACAAGACCCCCTCAAAATATCCTAAAGGAGGTAGCCTAGACCCTAATTTTTCTCATTTTTAGGAGGCAAATATGAAGTGCCTGTTCCCAATGCAATGCGACTGGTCAAACTACTCAAGATTAAGCAAAACACAATTTATTTAAACACTGTAGTTAAAATACTACCAAAGAAAGAGGAATTTAGAATAACTTAACTCTATTGGAAAACTTAACAGAATAACAAATACAGTAACTGTTACGAATTAACTGTTCCAATATAGTAACATTCCATAAACACACCCCTTTGCAAAAAAGGAAATTCAGATACAGATTTTCACTTGCAGTTCTCCCATCCAGAAGGAATAAACATCAAGAGAAAATTCAGAGACAATACCAGCCAAGAGACATTCACTGAAGCTTCCAACTCTGCCGAGACCCAATATCTTCTGATGCTACTGAAAGACCAAAACCCAGAAATCCTAATCTGAGTGAGCTGGCCACACCCATTCAAGGTGTTTTAAAAAATACCAAGGCCTCCCAAGCTGACTTCTCAAGTGGTCTTATCTAGCCAGCTTGATACCTCTTGTTCAATCTCTCTCAAAAGAAACCAGGACAAAATAAGCTGAAAGCTACTGCATTATCACACTACTAACTGGAAGTTGACTTACTAAGCCCAACACCCTGTTTCCTTCAATTAGCCAATTTTCATTTTCTGCTAGTAGATTACCCTAAAAACCATGAATTCTCATCTTATACAGTAAGCTTCTGTGATATCTTATCAAATGCCTTTTGTAAGTAGAAATACACTACAGGTTCCCCTTTAGTCATGCCAATTGTCATATCCTCATGGAACTCTTAAAATATTTGTCAAACATGATTTCCCTTTTATAAAACCATATTGACTCTGCTCGTTTATATTATGATATTGTAAATATCCTGCTGTAACTTCCTTAACAACAGATTTCAATATTTTTCCAATCACAGATGTTAGACACAAAAACAGAAATTGTTGGAAAAGCTCAGCAGGTCGGACAGCATCTGTGGAGAGAAATCAGAGTTAACGTTTCAGGTCCAGTGACCCTTCCTCAGAACTGGATGTTAAACAAATTGGCTTATAGTTTCCTGTTTTTAGTTTTCCTCCCCTGTTTAATACAGACAGTATATTTGCAGTATTCCTACATGTGGGCCTGTCCAGAATCTAGAAGATTTTGAAAGATTACAACCTTGAACTAAATTTCTCCAGTTAAAATTTCCATCTTATTTAATGCATGGCAATGGGGCCCACAGTTCACTGCAACTAAATCTGAAAAGTAAATGATAGTGTAGTATAGCATTCACAGATAGGCATTAAACATAATGATGGCATCATAATTGCAGGTTTAAAAAGATAGATATTTTGGAAATTGATGCCAAATCATATATTTCCATCAGATTCACTGAGTGTGGAATCCTAGATGTGTCTTCCCTCTTTAAACCTGATTGTGTCATCATTCCCATTGCCACATTGGTGAGTTTAACTAATGCTACAGAAACTATGATACAAGGACTTTCTCAGTTGTACGTATGGCCAAGTTCAAACTGTCATTATGAAACCCTGTGTGCAACTTTATGTTAACTTGATCCTGTGTTGAAGTTGCCTCACTTTAAGTGCCTTATAAACTCCAACAGTCATGGAACCAGAATGCTGCTATGCCTCCTTCTATCTATTGTTATTCTTGCTACTTTGATTCTTCTATTGAGGGCTGTGTCCATTTAAATAGATTCACTGGAAGTAGAACCCTGATCTTCTCTGTGATGGTAAGAAAAATAATCTAAAATGTACATTTCAACTTTTGAATTTAAATATATATTTTTATGTATGCATTCTAATTAACATATTTAAAATTTCTTCTACTAACTGCCAAATCTTCAGTTTACAACTTTTTTCCCCCCTCTTGTTATTATTATTACTGCTATTACTGGATCCCGCCTCCCCCCCACCCCGTACATTCTCCTCATCAATGCTCTTGATTCATTACTAGGATAATGACTCAGGCAGCAGGTACATACAAAATGTTATCTTTCCAAATTTATGATTATTTTTGTGAGCCTTAAATTGACGTACTGTTAGCCTCACAGTATGCATCACACCGAAACTGAAATGCTTTCCTTACTCAGATGTCGATGAACAGCAGGAAGTAGCATAAACTCTGGCCAATGCTCTTGATCAGCATTGATTTTCTCCAAACAATAGTCGGAAGACTGAAATCATTACTTTTTAAGTCCCAATTACAAACTGAACAACACCAACTTTCTGCATGAGAACTATATGATGCTTAATCAAACAGTTTGCAACCTTGATTTCATATCAGTTTGTTCAGAAACGGCATCATGTCGACCTCCTCAAAAACTTGATTTTATCTCTGAGCTCTCTGTCCAATCTCATTGTGGCAATCTCTGCCCACTCCTACCGCCACTGTAATTCCACAATTATGCTTCAGTTCGTCTCTTTGGTCACAAACCGATTCAAAGCCCGTTCAAATAGGCCGCTAATTTCCCGTTGCCACGGTGACGCGCGGTGGTGCTTCTGTCAAATCCATTGGGTTCCCCCGAACGGGCGGAGTATTTGTGCCACCAACAATGGTTCCGTTTTCTTTGTAAGATACATATTTTATTCAAATAAATCAACTAAACACAATACAGGTTGAAAATAAACAGCAAGAGTGCTGAGAGAATTCATCCTTCTTCTTAGTCCTCTCAGTGATTATCATCCATAATAATTCTCTCAGTTGAAATGTATTTTAATTTTATATCGATTAGCCCAAAGGTTTTATGAAAGGCTCTTCTAATATTAAAAGTTAATTAGATAAATATTTGAAAGCGGCAGTAGCACAGTGCTAAGTGTCCCTGCCACTGGGCCATTAGACCTAGGTTCAAGTTGCAAAGAAACGCTTAAACAGGTTGATTTAAAAAAACAAAAGCTGAGTTTTACTGGATTATTGGGTGTTTTGTTTTAGTGGTTGATTCTTAAAATACACAAAGAAGGAGATAAGTAGGTTCTTGATTGGTAAGGGGATCAAAGGTTACGTGGAGAAGGCAGGAGAATGCGTTTGAGAAATGTATCAGCCACGATTTGATGGTGGAACAAACTCGATGGGCCGAATGGCCTAATTGTGCTCATGGTCTTATGGTCTGTAATTCCTAATTAGATAAGGCAGGGAGCTGAATTTTAACACTTTCACCTGTCCCCATCATTCTGGTGCCGGAGGGGAGGAGAGGCTGCGGGGAGTGGAGTGAGGCTATACTTACAGTCCTCTCTCTCCTCGCCAATGTTCAGGCTGTTTATATTGAATTGTTTAGAGAGCTGCTGGTCTGCACGTATCCACAATGTGACTCCAATCTCTGCAACAACAAAGACATGCTAAAGATCCAATTTGTTTTTAAATACACAAAGACCTGCTCATTGATGAAAAGGCACTTTACGCATTCACACGTTTTGTGTTTTGGGTCCAGATTTCCCAACAATGAACCCTTTGCCAGTAAGTGATCGTTTCCAAAAACATAGCGGAAAATGCGTGAGAAACTGCAAGCATCAGCTCTTTTGCATATTCTTCTCCCGTTTAGGTCTGCAAAAGAATACTCTCTCACAGAACTGGGATGTCATTTCTTTCACTGTGAATACACGTGTCAAAAAGGTTCAAGTTACCGCCCCCACCCCCGACAATAAAGGCAAGTCTCTCAGCATTTATTTTAAAAGTGCTCATGAACGGCCATCCATCATCTAACCTCTCGTACTTCAAGCAGATGATGTTTGGCAACACTCAGCGGGATAGGCAGCATTAATGAGGAAAACAGTCAACGCTTTGGTTCGGTAAAATTTCATCAGAGCCTCGCTGAGATGGATATCTTTTCTGAAACCTCGTCGTGTGCGTGCAGGTTTCAGTTCATTTCACAATTTACAAGTAGGAAAAAAGGCTCTGACTGGAATAATAAAGTGTCCAGTTTTATCGAGTCTTTCTTGATAAATTGTTGTACGTTCTTGCGTGGTGGAAAGGGAAATGGAAGACTGATTGATTGGTGTACGCTTTCTGCTGATTCACAGCGCGGTGAGATGTATTTTACTATAATAGGAATACACAACTCATTTATAGGCACTGGGTATTTCCTTCCATGTACTTTTCTACAACGCCCGCAATACATTGCAACGTCATTCCTGTTACGCAAAATGGGAAAGTCGAAGTGAAATCAGATTGAATAAGCAAACGAGCAGCAAGGGAAGAACGAGCAAAGCAAATTTAACTCTTGAAATTTAACAAAGAAACAAAGGAAAAGACCGAGCGAAAGCACAAAGAGACAAACTAAACGTTGTGGTTAAAAAATGAACGGATTGCTTTCAAAAAAAAAGCTCCTTCAGAGAAATGCAAAGACAAGAAAAAAGTCCTCAGGATATGATTAATATTGACAAAACGACAGTGTGTCATGAAAGGAAAGGGCGTAAACGATAGCAAGTTCTTGCTGCAATCTTCTACTCATACTGCTAAATAAATAATTTGCATAATTTGAGTTCCGTCGAAAGGCCACCGACCTAAAACGTTAAATCTTGTTTCTCTGTCCATAGATGCAGCCTGGCCTGCTCAGTACATTTAGCGCTTTCTGTTCTTTTTATTTGTCTTCTGGCACCTGTAGAATTTTGCTTTTGCAAATCATCGCATCTACAACAATGGACCAGTTCCAGAGGAGGTGAAATCCAAGTTGTGGGACAACGTCACTTAAAAAAAAGGACAGGGAAAAGTGAAAGGGAAATCATAGTAGCAGCTTTCTCATTTTCGAATTAGAAGGTTGCTGATGATGTCTTTTGTCTCCCTTTCAGTGGATGTAGAAGTTGCTGTTGCAAGGAGACATTGGAGTTTACCTGGCCAATGTTGTTCAAAAAAATCTAGTCGTCATCTCATTGCTTGTTTGTGGGACTTTATTTTGTGGCACAAGAATGACTGCCACATTTGTCACAACACATTAATGGTACATTTAATGCCTCACCATGTAGGACATCCTGATGTTGTGAAAGCCATCATAATGAAAGTTACCTTTTTCTTCATTAATTGGATGGATTCATTATTACATGAACTTTGCTTCTTTGTAGGTAACAGCACTTTTGTTACTCAATTTGCATATAACAAAAAAGAGTTTGAAACAAAAACAGAAATAAGTGCACAAACTCAGCAGGTCTGGCAGCATCGGTGGAGTTAGAAACAGAGTTAACATTTCAGGTCCAGTAACCCTTCTTCATAACTGGACCCAAAATATTGGCTCTGCTTTCTCTCCACAGATGTTGTAAGACCTGCTGAGTTTCTCCAGCTATTTCTGTGTCTGTCTAGGATTTCTAGCATCAGTTCTTTTTTAATTTAAAAAAAGGGTTTCCTCAACTCACTTTGTAAAGGAGATGTGTAGCTCTTTTAAAATCAGTTAATCAAATACACCAAATTGAAATAGCTTCAAGGGTGCCAGCCCCTTACAAAACAAAATGTGTATTAAAGCCACACACTGGGAGATCCTTTTTCTCCCCAGGTGGATTGGTTGATCTCAGATAAGACAACAGTAAAAGTGACACTGAAAGATCCAATATCTCTGAAATAGTGAGTGGGAAAACACTGTTGCCAGACCTTGTTCACTAACTTATATTCCATGTAGGAATAAATACATATTTGGATATTGAATGAAGACAAGATTGACTTTAGCTGGAAGATCTCCCTCTGATCATGTTGACTGCCAAACCTCACAACCTTGACTCATACATGAAGAGTGCCAGCTTTGCAGAATATTCAACAGCAGTCTTGTTTGTGGTGCAGGGAGACCAACCCACGGAAGCAATTCCCATTCCACCTGAGGTCATCATGCAGGCCCCAACTTTGCAACCTCGCCTGAGGCCTGTTGACCCTCAGGTTAAACTTAACACTGGTCACCTCTCTATTATGAGAGAACAGCCTATGGTCCTTTGAGACTATATGACTTAGACTTCACCTCAACATAATTCAATGGCTTTAAGAGAACAGAACAGAATTGTAGGAAATGGGAATCAAGCTAAGAGTTTCCCTTTTAGTATTAGAATAACGAACTGGCTTTTTATTAAAATTACTTCAATTTTTTACTTGGTATAAATATTATTTAAATTGAATCGCTAGCAGTGGACTTTGAAAATTAATAAAGTAAATGACTAGTGCAGAGCTGGATGAACACAGCAGGCCAAGCAGCATCATAGGAGCAGGAAGGCTGACGTTTCGGGCCTAGACCCTTCATCAGAAATGGGGGAGGGGAAGGGGGTTCTGAAATAAATAGGGAGAGAGGGGGAGGCAGATAGAAGATGGATGGTGGAGAAGAAACAGACAGGTCAAAGATGGAGCCAGTAAAGGTGAGTGTAGGTGAGGAGTTAGGGAGGGGATAGGTCAGTCCAGGGAGGATGGACAGGTCAAGGGGGCGGGATGAGGTTAGTAGGTAGGAGATGGGGGTGGGGCTTGAGGTGGGAGAAGGGGATAGGTGGGAGGAAGAACAGGCTAGGGAGGCGGGGACAAGCTTGTTCCAAAATGCAAATTCTAAAGCAACACCCTGTACACCAAGGTCTTTAATATATATAGGGCAATTAACGGTGTAGCTGGACAATGAGTTGGGTCTTTGTCCCTGCATTCTCGCAACCCCGCCTCTTTGACCTGTCTGTTTCTTCTCCACCATCCATCTTCTATCCGCCTCCCCCTCTCTCCCTATTTATTTCAGAACCCCCTTCCCCTCCCCCATTTCTGATGAAGGGTCTAGGCCCTAAACGTCAGCCTTCCTGCTCCTATGATGCTGCTTGGCCTGCCGTGTTCATCCAGCTCTACACCTTGTTATCTCAGATTATCCAGCATCTGCAGTTCCTATTATCTCTAATGACTAGTGCAGACAGAGTTAGGGAGAACAGGCACTTTTTATAAACTGACAAAATAAAGCAGAAAGATTGGAGAATGCAGGGACAAAGACCCAACTCATTGTCCAGCTACACTGTTAATTGCCCTACATATATTAAAGACCTTGGTGTATAGGTTGTTGCTTTAGAATTTGCAGAAGTATTGTGTGATGTAAGGAGAATAGTATAGAATTTCAAGAGGACATAGACAAGTTGGTGAAATAGGTGGGCAGGTGATGGATGAATTCAATTCTGTAAGTATCAGTAATTCATTTTGGTAGGAAGTACACGAAAAGACAATGCAAAATAAAAGGTAAAATTATGAACAGGATGCAAGAATAGAAAAACCAGGGTATATCCATATATAATTAATTGAAGCTGGCAAGACAGGTTGAAAGGGCAGTTAATAAAATATCTGGTATCTTACACTTTATTAATGAGGGCAGGAGTATAAGAGATGTTATGTTAAACTTGTATAAAATATTGGCTCAGCCTCAACTTAAGTACTGTAAGAGAGATTGCAAAAAAGATTCACATGAATGGCACTGGGGATGAGGAACTTCAGTTATTTATTAAGATTGGAGATGTTGGGTCTGTTTTCCTTGGAGAAAGGAAAGATGACAGCAGATTTGGTAGAAGCATATAAAATCAAGAGGGATCTGGACAGAGTAGAGAGGAAAAACTGTTGCTA